ACATCCACGTCCATTGTGGTAAGAGGCCGCCGCCGCACTGTGCGCGCTGCCTTCTTTGGTGGCGTGACCAGCTCCACTTCATCTCCTTCAGCCACATCGGTTGGAAAACAAATCTTGGTTGTTCAGTGACCCTCGAAAAAGAAGGGAACCCTTTTTGGGGAAGACCATTTCTAGCGGAACAGCCAGTTAAGTACACCTCAAGAAGCAAAAATGTGAAATGGTTCCAGACAACAATCATGCGGATGTCCGGGATTGGTTTCCCTGCAAGGAAACCATGCCTAAAAAGTTACCCGAAGAATATGCCAACATTTCAGCTTCCCCTGCTTCCCAGCTTGCATGTGTGTCTGACTTTGATGAACAGGAGGCTGCAAAAACGCCTGGCCAACTGGTCGCCAAATCGAGTTTTACAGAGTAAATGGCAAAAGGCCCCTTTGTTGTGGATCTCTAGCATCGCTGCCCGGTCAGATCTTTCTTCTTGGCACTTTGGCCAGCTTGGACGTGGTCTCAAAGGGTGGAATTCATCTGAGAAACTGAGCCCAGCTAGCACGACTCACTTCGGAGAAGGAGGCCCATAGCAGTGGTGCATGGCATAACCCTGAACCATGAACCACAGCCGGAGGGCGTCCTTCCGCTTGCACCTCCTGTCCCTCAGCCTGACCGTCAGGCAGACTGTGACTCAGAGGCAGGAATCAGACCCCCCCAACCCAACCCTGGTAGATGCGCGAGCTTGCCTTTCTGCGCAGAACCCTGGTGGATTCCCACCAAAAAAAGTGAAGGGCTCCCTCTCAAATCAGACACGACCCAAATTATCAACCAGGGTTTAGCCACAATGTCTCGCATATGTGAGCAAGCATGTCATGCCCCAAACTTTCTGAAGCATGCCGTGTTGGGACTTCCCTTGAAAAATGTTGGCGAGCGATTGGGACTCCATGCATTTTTGTTTGCGTCCTCCCTCAAATTCACATGGAACCCCTAAAAGCCAACCTTTGTAGAGGAACCTTCTGGGATTTGACCGCCCTTTTGGGTTCCAAGCGGCCCGCCGATCGAGTCCCCGCCTTTGGAGCCATGGGAGCCATGGGAGCCTTGGAGCCGTCTGAGCCCTCGTTGGCATTCAGGTCCGGAGATACGCATTTCGCGTTAAGGTCCGAAAATCCGGGGAGTGGCTGGAAAAGGTCTAGGTAACAACCCCAAAAGTGCGCCTCAAAGAGATGAGTATGAGGAATCTGTCCATGTGCATGGTGCCCTTTTTGATGCTGAGCACTCAAAGCAATACCAAGAATCGGCGGCACTTTGATGCGGTTCCTTGACCGTCGCAAAGGGCTGGCTCATGTCACCGCGTGGATTACTTCGCGAAGTAAGAGCAGGACAAGCATGCTGCGAAATGAACAAGTCAAAGAGTATCAAGTATAAACAGTACAAATTGCCTGGAAAAGTCGCAACCTTCAGCCCATGATGTCCAACTAACCCCAATTGTCGAAATCATTCAGCCCATGACAGCTTCACATTGAAACACCGAGGTCTGGACATCAAGAACCTCGGATTTAGACCTCCCTTCTTGATTTTGATCATCGGGTGTGTTGCTTCTTTTCTAGGTCCTCCAGTAGAGAGGTTAGAATAAGGGTACCCTTTTTGCTGTAGTCTATTTTAGTAGGAGAACCCTCCCCCAAACAAGGGTAAAAGGGCCCTACTCAAGAACCTAGTTTTTCAGCGGGGCTTCACATTCGGGGAATGCGAACCGATCGGTGGGACATCCGGGGTCAGGTGAGGTCTTTCCACTCCCGTCAGAGGTCGGGAGCCATGAAAGTCAAACTTTGTTGAGGCCTTCGGAGGATACGGTGGATGCAAGTAAGTGAACCAGGCAAAGCCTTGATTTGCCATAATCTAGCATGGTGTTGGGGTTCAGTACTGTGGATGGACGAAATTCTGCACCACCCCCATGTAAATACCAACAAGCAATGGTTTACCATGGATTCAAATTGGTGCAGGATTTCGTCCATCCACAGTATGGTTGGTTTACTTGCAATAATCCATCGTACCAGGGAGGTGGCACTCCAGTCCGGTCAAACTCTTTTGCACAGCTGGGAACTCCAGGGCGGCTATAGGAGTGCTGAACTGATACAAGGCCTTGCTTTTGCAAGGCCAATGATTCATGGCTGATGCGCGGGACGTCTAAAGCGAACTGACCTGTTTCTACAGCTTGGGAGAATGTAGAGTCTGCAGCATTGCATGGCATGACTTGCCTTGGAACTGCAGAATGATCCACCTGGCGGATTTGTCTGTGGGTGTTTGCACTTAAAAGTGAAGAGTCCCTCTACAAGCGGACTCTCATGGCAAAGCGATGCCAGACTCCCGCCATCAGCGTCCAAACAACCGGGGCTTGCGGCTGTCACAAAGAAATTGGAGAGCGCTCTTCGAGCGCGTAGTATCATGCTGATATAAGAAAAGGGGAGGCGGGATCAGGATGCTACACAGACTTTGAAGCTGGTTAAAAAAAAAGGCTGGGAGTAGAAAAGCGAAGTCACCACACCTCAAAACTGTGATTGTGGGAATCACCCATTGATACCAGAATGGCTCATGTCGATGACCACGTTAACACCAAGGGAATTGATTGGCATCAAAGGACAGTCCTAAACCCAACATTCCATCACCATGACACGCACTGAACCATCAACACCTGGGTGATACCATGCCGATGGAAATCACCAGGTTGTTGCACGCCATAGCCTCGACTTCGGCAACCCCTGGTTACAGGCCGCATTTTCAGCCTCCTGAAAAGCCCCACACGGGGTATCCGATTTGGCACGCAAAATGAAACAGTATCTCATGGCCAATGACTCGCTGTGATGTTCTTGAACAATGGAATTTGCCTTACTCGGGTCTCGAACCTCCGATTTTGATGGTGCGTTCCGTCGCGACATAAGTTGTTGGACTGGCGGAGGAATAACACTTTGGGAAAACACAAACATGCAAGTGACACGTTCTTTCATAACAAATTCGTGAGGTGCTATGCTATATATATATGATTGTATACATATATATGTATACATATTTATGTATATTCATATTTGTGTGTATATATTGTAATGCTTGGTCGCAATAATCATTTCGTTGCGCCCTTGTATCCCGCGAACGTTCCCCTCCGAGCAAGACATGCTTGCTCGGGATTCACCGAGAAAACTCCGCGCCGCGCCGTGTTCTTCACGGCGATTCATGGCACTCTTTGTAGCGGGATGCGAGTTCCACAAACTCATGGGCAAGGCCAAGCCCTGCACTTTGCGTCGGGAACCCAGGTTTAAACTTTATGTTGCTTAAGCAAGGGTGCGAAGCAAATGTTAGATAAAACTCTTCGCGATTTGGGACAACACCTCAACCAATCAGTTGATGCATCCGGGGTCGACATTCACAAGCCTTTGTGCGCCGTTTGTATCCTGTGTCCTCTAAGCCTCGGGAAGGAAAATCACGACAACGTTGACAATCTGGAGATCAGGGATGCTCAAAAAGAAACGAGAGCAAACAAAGCATCCCTTTTGCAGTTATTGCAGGGACCTTGAATCCGATGTGAGGACGCCCACGCCGAACCTTCAAGTGTCAACCAGTTGCACGCCCTCGGCTTGAATAGACCCCCGAAGAATGCCGCTCGTTTCATCCGGACGCCATTCCGGCACCCGCCCCGCCCCTTGGACAGTGACTGACCTCAGGGTCCTAATCTGAGGGTCTGGCAAAATAAGCATCAACATGCTGCTATCACTATGAGTTAATTTGGTTTTCAAGTACCTCTACAACCCCATTCACATACTCGGGGCGACCCTGCCCCCCAACCCCCGACTATTTAACCCCGACGTCTACGAATCTAAAGGTCACTGTCCGTCATTCTATCTGGAAGGGACGACCTGCATCAGCTCATTTGAACTCGCTCCGGGCTACCGGCGGCTCGGCCTCACTGCGCTCATCCTCTCCATGAGCTGAGTTTGCATGGTGCGGATCTCACGCATCAGCACCTCTGTCGAATGCAAGGAACAACTCGAAATGGCATGAGAAAATAAAATAGCCCCCCGGCTGCTCGTCGGATTCAACATGATTATATATGGGCAATTTGACGTCCCCACAACTTTGGGGGGGGTCCCCTCTCCCTCTTCCATTTTTTAAGGGGGTGGGGATAAGTTGCCCCACCTTCAGAAAACCCGTGTTCCCGGTGTTGATGAGGCCTCCGATTATGGTGGGCTACCTTCAAAGCTCGCAAGAAACAGGTCGTGAGCAAGCGGCGCGTGAGCAGTCCGCACTTGCGGATTTCAACCTGGAGACAGGTTTGCAAGGGACCCATGGGTGAGCTTGCTATGGCCGGATCAGTGAGCTCACCAGAAGCGCGGAACATGACCCCAAACCTAGAAACCAAATCAGAAGACTGGGCCCATCACAAAAGCCCTATGATCCAGGGAACTTAAAAGTGTTCGGGAAACCCACCAAAAGATGCTGATGCTTCTGAATGCGGTATCACAACGGCAGCTTACACTTGTGTTTAAAAGTACGCCAGTCAAGAAGGAATGATTTGTGCAAATGAACCTCATTCCAAGCCCCCGACAAGGATGAACATGACGTAGAAGGTCTGGACAAAATACAACTTTCACTATCTAAAAGTTGGTTTCCTTTAGGGGACATTCGCCAAACATTTTGTATGCCTTTTCTTTCGCGCAGCGTTCGAGAGTTGTGGCATTGTTTGTAGGGAAGAATCAACCAAACATCACCACCATGACTCTATAACAGTGGCATCCTCCAACATGACCCTGTGAATGGCGAGTAATCCCCCCAGAAGTAATTGAGAGAACACCTTCAAAGTCCAGTTGCAGTGGAAAAAGACAAACGGAAAGCCCTTGTTAGGAGTGAGCATTTTGCTGGAGGACCATCAACAAGAGCGTAGAGGCTGCACTGTTCTCAAGTGGTTTGCAAGCTTAGACCTCCTAAATGGGTTCTTTTGTTTTGGCTTCCCTTTGAAACCCACAACAACTTACATTTACTTGGTTCGTCCCCTGGAAGAAAAAGGAACATGTCAAGCAGTGACGTAGTGATGGGTTCCCTTTCAAACCAACGGAACATAACACATACAATATGTCCAAAGGTATTGGTTCCCTTTAAAACCAAGAGGGGAAATAAAAACAACCTCTTCGCATTCACTTCAGCAAACTGAAGAACAAGGGGGTCACCCCGAAAAGGACACCTACTCACATAGCAGCTTGTTAGCATCTACCCCTTGTACGAGTTATAGCCGGGCCTCCATACCTCCAAACCCCATACCTGAAACTGAAACTGCGCTTCAACAAAGGGGCAAACAAAAAAAAAACGGGGGGCCACACCCAGTTGGGTTCCCCAAAACAGAGGGCTTCCTTCTAACTCCCCTTGCAAACCCACCAAAACCAGTTGGGTCCCCCAAAAGCTTAGCCAAATAGTCTATGTCCCCCTAACCCCCCTTGAAAATCAACCAAAAACATCCAACACCAGGTGTCCCCCAAAAACTGGAGGCCTTGAGAACCACCAAAACATGGGGTCCCCCAAAAACTTCGCCCATCCACCTGAGAGCAAAAGCAAGTTGGACAAACCTCGGTTGCTTTCTGCTCTCCTGCTAAAACTGAAACACTTTTTAGTGGATGAATTCGGAAAACCCATGAGTTGGCAAAAAAAAATCAAGTCCTACTCCCCCCTTCCCCCCCCCTCCCCTCCCTCCCCCCCCCAATCCAAAGGCAGCAAAACTGGAGGCCCGGGCGCCAACACGTCCAAAGCCTTGGCCGGGCCCCGGAGCCGCAGGCAGCCGCTCAAAAACTCGTCCGCGTCCAACGTGCCGTCGTCGTCCAGGTCGAGGATCTTGAAGACCTCAGGGTCCAACTCTTGGCCGCTCGGTTCCCTAGAGCTCACTGGCTGAGTGGATGGCCCAAAAAAAAAGTCCAAACTTTATGTTTACCACCAAAACGGTCTTCCCAGAAAGTTTAAAGTTCATGAACTCAGGAAGTGAGAGTCCCTGGAGTCTCCTTCCCACCCTTTAAAACTGGGGTCATTTCTGAGTCACTACCCGAAGTAATGGGGTCATGGACCTGTTTTCGAGGGTTTAAAGGACAAAACACGAAAAGTGCGAAATTGAAGGTACACCAGAGGAGATTTGCTAAAAACGGATGGCTTGTGCGTTCCGTGTTAAACTGCAGGACCAAGTTGTTCAGTGACCCATCAAACAAAGAGAAAACAAGGGGCACCACTAAATTCAGAAGTTCCACCTCAGGGTGTCGCTGTTTGAGGCTCGGTGCCCTTTTTGGGCTTGGTTGTAGGGGAGACCAAAAGGACCACCACCATTTCTTTGGACCCCTGCTTTGACACATAGCCACCTTCAAGGCATCTGGTATGGTTGCCGGGGAAAACACGTTCCCCAGTTTCACGGAAAGTCGAAGGATCCAAAATAGCGCCCAAGGTGTGTAGCAGTCTCCCCACCCAAAGCTCCAAGGTTGGGTAATTTTGAGGATATGGACCTGGACATGCCTTCTGGAGGGCCGGTCCCATAAGTTTTAATCTGCGCTCAGGTCTAAAGTAAGCTATCGCCTCGGAGGCATTGAGGCCTTCTCCGGGCATGTCCGAAAATGGAGGAACATGGGGTGGTTTCCCTTCAGTTCTGGTAGCTTCCCCATCCTTTCGGGGATCCGGATTTCTTTTCAAGCCATCGAACCCCGGGAACGCCCGGTTTCCCGAAAAGAACGATGGTTGAAAAGAATGGGGAGTCGACCGCTAGATAAGTTGTCCTTTGCACTAGCCTCAAAAGGCCGTGCGGATGTTGTATACAACCTATGCGCAGGGATCTGTGGCACAGCTTTTGCAACATAAACCACGAGTACAAACACAAGGAGCCTCGATGGGAGCTTCCCAAAATGGTGGATGTGCTTTTGGTTGGAAAGGGGGGCCACAAGGAGACCATCCATTTTGCGGCATCCCAATTTGAGAAACATCCCTACCTGAATCGGAATTACAAGTTGCACAGCTGGCAGCCTGTCAGCCTGTCAGCCTCTCATTCAGTTGATGCACTCTGCAATCAGCGTGCCAGGGTATCATCACTTCTTGCTTGACCCTTCGCCTTGGGTTCATCCGACTGGAAAAGAGGAATCCCCTAGATGTGAACCATGGCCGAGTCGATTTACCAATGTGAGCTCATGTTTCAATCACAGAACCATGTTACCTTCGAAGTCTGCACCCCCCCCCCCCGATAATACAATTTCAAGCATGTTTGGTAACCAGCATTGTGACTGTGCTGGAACTTACCCATGTCCTATGCTAATTCCGAAGCATAGCAAGGGAGCGATTGCAACAGTGACTAATTAATGGTGACTATTCGGGGCCATGAAGGACCATAAAGCGTCACAAACTTCCTATGCCTCCCCTGGCCCTGGCTCTGAATCAAGATTGGACCCATCCGAGAAGCATTTCGAGAATCAGTCAGAACTGGAGTGGTGGCATTCAGTCACTGCCAACGTCTGCCCTGGGACCATTCTCACTAAATGGGGATTTGTACGAAACTATCGCCTACTGCTAGCTACACTACGTACCATAATGCATCTTCAGGCACATTCTGTCCGGCCCCCTGCCCTCCGTCGCATAAATCTGCCAGATTTACTATTATTCAAAAAGCTGAATTCAAGGATCCCCCGGTACAGGGCTTTTATGGTGAGCTCTTCATACCCCGGATCAGTGAGCTCGCCATTTAAACAAAAAAATGTACAAAGGCTCGCAAGCAAACAGGCCAAATAAATCCATCTTTGCCCGCCCCATCCAGCAAAATAAGGGTCCAACCCAGGAATTCCATTTTTGTGTCCTGGCACAAAAATTGCCTAAATGGGCTCCACCTATACCTCCAGCTCCCCGCTGCTTCCATCGGACCACGTCTGCCATGCGCGTGCCAATCGCTCAATCGCTAAATCGCTCGCTCCCGATCGGCTCCGACCGCTGGGCCGCCGGGCGCAGTGGGCCTCAGAGATGTCCAGGTCGATGGCCTTGAAGAGCTCCTTGATGTCTTTGGAGTGCAAGCTGGCCTCACGGCATATCGGGGTATCGGGCTTGGTGCGACGGCCTTAGCCCATGGCTTTCAACTCGGAACCCTTCAGCCTTGGAGGTGTGCGTTGCAGGCAGGTGGGTCCCACGGCCCAGCTTGGCTCAACCCAGTTCCTTCAGCCCTTGGGTGGTCGTTTCCTATAGTAAGTAGTTTGGCATCCTAGGTTATAAGTTATAACCCACTTAGTCCCCCACAAGCGGGGTTAATCTTGATCTTAGGAAATTAGGGGGTTATACCGTGAAAAACCCCAAGGGCTACCCGTCGAACTTGGCCGAACATCCAAGGATTCCACTGGCCTTTTCAACCACATCCGAGGGCTTGTCGGCACATGGAGACCTAGCCACCTGGATTCCATCAGTTTTGCCGCAGGTCCCGCAGGCTCAAGGGGGCCTAAAGTGAGGGTATCTTCCAGTTGCTTTTTCACCCCCTGGGAAAAAAAAATCAACAACAACAACATGTCCAGTAGTGATCGATTCCTTGTAAAACCAATAAACAAAAAACTTAAACAAATGGAAGGTAATAAACAGGTGTCTGGAAAACAATACACATCTCACACCACTTCTGAGATTGTCTGTGGAAATTAAAAGGCATATTCGGCCCCCAAATCAATAAAGGCCCCGCGAAAAGCCATTCGCATGTAATTGAAATCAGTCCCACTCGCACGCCTGGAAGTCGTCCCAGGTGATGATGCCCGAGTTCGACTTCTCCATCTTCCTGAAGCTTTCTTTCTACGCCACAATCAGGCTAAAGTATGATCATTGCCCAGGATCAGAGATCCGATTTCCTGAAATTTTGGACACCTTTTTTTTGGCGGGAGAGGGGCCACTACAAGACAACCTGCATCTCCATCTCACCCCAAACACAAATTTCACTTTCCGCCGTTTTGGTGGCTGCCATAGTGGCATGGGCATTGCGAATGCATGGGTCGTATAGAAAGGCGGATCTTGGGACAGAAAGCTCCCTGGCAGCAAACAAATGGATGTGGTCAGACATTCTCAAAACTACCCTCTTTCTGGTAGGCGAGGGGAAACACTTCCCCCACATGCCAATGCACTTGTTTGAGAACCCCACACTCAACCACTCTTAGGGCCCCAGGACAAGGTGTCGGCTTCCTGGATTCCAACACAGTATCAGTCCAGAAGCTGGGGAAGTGAGTTGCTCGGATTGTCGGAAAATTAGCTCGGCCTTCGATGCTTCCTTCAGCCGAATAGAATCATCGGCAACGGCAATTGGGACATCTCTTCGTGCTGCATATGGGGCATTCAAGTTCGCAATATTCCATGACATGATTACCTGCTTCAAGCACCAAAGCACACCATTTTGCAGTGAAACTGACGCACTTGGAAGTAGGCATGGTGGAATTCACATGACGTCTCAAGGAGCAACACTCGGTACTTGACAAGGGTGAGTAGGGTGAGTGCTAACCTGGAAGGAACTGACCCTTTGATTTCAGGATGTGGCAAGGAAGACCAACACTTGGCCAACCCATCCCTTCGGTTTCGATGGGGACCCTGACGGGACGACGCATTCGATGGAAATGCCGAGCTGCTTGAAGACCCCGCGCACGTACTGAACGAGGTAGCTGTCCTTGTCCTCTTTGCCGCGCTTCACCGCGCTCTCCACGAAGACCTGGGTGACCCGCTCGGTGCTTAGGTGCTCTGGGGGGGGGAGGTGTCCCATTTACGAACAAGAAACCAAGGCTTGAGATTCCCAAATGGGTAGGTCTCAAATTCAGAAGTCACCAAAACTGGTTGGGGGCTGGGCGCAGGCATGCGCAGGCTTTCGAGCATATTTTTAGGACCGCTCGCGGTGGTTGTCTCACTCCTTGGGTGGATCGGCCACAAAACGTCCAAACTTCTCCCGTAAAGACCGCTGCAAACAACACTAAGGTCCAAACAACTTCTTCCCGAAAAGCAAGAAGTCCAGCGACTTGGGAAGTGAGCTGCGTCTTTGAACAGATCCATTCTGGTTGGGAAGGTTTCCCTCAAAAAAACCCATCAAAAGGGGTTACTCCAAAGGGCTGGCGGCCGAAGGTTCAAGGTCGAACCTGGTTGAATCAACCTGCTGTATTGTTTGGAGGGTTTTCCCCAGCACCTCTTGAAGGCATTCAAGGCGCGATCAAAATCAATAGTGTGGAAACAAAACCGGTCATTTGGTGCAAGCTGCGGCATGCTGCACGCCCAAAATCATCCTTCAGCTGATGTGACCTGAACTTGACCTGGACGCGGAACTGGCAACTGCAGGAGCCCAGAATAAGCCAGACTATGTGAATCTGGGGAGATGCCGACAGGGCTTGAATCAAGGGCTCAGTGGATACTTGGCAACAAGAACCTGTTGGACAAAGCAACATACTGTAGACAAGAAAAAATCAGAGCCCAAGGGCCCAAGGGAACCAACCAGATGCAACGGTGATGGTGGCAAAGGGCTATTGAGGTTGCGGCAACCGATGGCTCTCGTGTTTCGAAATCTGTTGAAACATTCGAAAGGGCAGTTCACGAACGAAGCAAAACCAGTGGGCATGGGTCGAAAGAAGCTGGCTTCTCGCACCTGGTCTAATCCCGGTGGCGCTGGCTTCGAATGAGGACCGAATCATTCTGAGCAGGGAAAGCAGAGTGCAGCACCAAGAACTGCGCTTTGCTTGGGGAATGCTCGGGAAAGCTGCCTTCGGGTTCAGAAAATGAAGGTTGACCTTTTGGGGCCATATGGCCATGGGTCAAAAGCCCGTATATGCAGGGAACATCCCAATCCCCACTAAAATAGACTAAAATGGGTGGTGGATCGTTTCCCGTACCAACCTGGAGTCTCCATGACCCTTTAAAAACGGGGTCATTACCCAACATTCAGGGGGTACCCCTTTTTCTAGGGGTCATGGAGACTCAAGGAAAGTGAAAAGGGTGCCAATAAGAAGCGCGCGCCCAAACCCAAGCATGTGCAAAGGAGGCACACCAGTGATCAGGTTCAGCAACGCCAGCAGGCTGAAGGCGATGTAGAACAGGAAAATGATCACCGCCAGAGGGGAAGTGTATGCCTCGGGAAACTGGAAGCCCGAAGCCAGGATTCTTGCGGAGTCGTATTCTCCAGTGGGGTGTTTTGAGGATAGCCTTATGAAGGGACTAGGCCCTCCAGTAAAGAGGTTGGAATAAGGGTACCAACTTTCTTCTGTAGTCTATTTTAGTAGGGGCACCCTCCCCCAAAAAAGAAGCGGTACAAGGGCACTACTGGGGGCACCTAGGCCATTTTTGTGTGACACAAGGCACCCTCCCGACCTTGGGGCCTTCCAGAAGCCTTCCGGTCGATGCCTTCCCATCTCGAGGGTGTCTGGAGGTGCTTGGGGTGGGTGGCTTTGACGGAACCACCTTCTTGCGGGCTTCGTTTCCACCTATGTTGAGACGATTTGGTTTCAAGAGGGGCCGAGTTCAACTCCCCAAGTCACCAGTTGACACTTAGAATAGACAAAGTGGCCTGGATGAGCTTGGTCACTAAACGAATCGGGCACCTGCACCTGAAGCATATCACGAAGCCCCAGAAATATCGCATCATCCAGCAATCCCTGCTTCCAACTTTGAAAAATCAGCTTGCTGCTCCTTCCCCGAGCAGTTGACGCGCGTACGGCTGACTTATCCAAGAACCTGGCAAGACGACACCTCACAGACATCTGCAAAGTGCATCCTGCGAAATTTGTTTGTGTGTGTGTGTGGCACAAGGTAAGGGGAACCCTATTCCTAAATTTGCTCTCCTTTGGGTTCCCTTCAAACGGTGAAAACGGTGCTCCTCAAATATAAAAGACCCGGACCCACATGTTCCGTCTCCAACTGGCTGAAGACTAGCAAACTTTAGTCCGAAACGAGTGTGGAGCCGGTGGGCGAATTTGGTAAATAAGGGATCCCCCCCTAATTGCTGTGGATGGACAATTCCTGCACCAGTTGGCAATTTGGCGGTTTCTCCCAGTGTTCAATATTCATAGGGGTTCATAGGATCTTCAGCATGAGGCCGGATTCACTCGCGGTCCCCCCCCCCCCAAATCGGTGAGCTCATGAATTAATCTGGCTGAAGAGTACTGAGCTTTGGTCTGCGAAAACTACCGATGCGCGTGCAGCACAAGCCACCAGCAAGGGGTTCATCACTGTAGACCAGTCAATGCCACCAGTCATTGCCTGCCACAAGGTCAGCATACCTTCAGGGATAGGCACAGCTCACTACCGGAAAAACCGGGGAAGACCCAACAAGACAAAGCTGGAGGAAGGTTTGGGGGCATTGTGTGTGGGTGGCTGGGGAGCAGTTTTGTCCCCAGTCAAGATTAGGAGCGCTCAAACCACGTTTGGCTTTGGGGCGCAGAAGCTGCGGTCAGAGGCACCTGACCCTCGCAAAAAGGAACCTTGTGGGATGAAGCGATGCTCAAACAAACCCACCTCAAAGGAAAACCCACCATCACCGGGTATTCCTGGACATCACTGGACTGGGCTGCCCGTTTTCTGATCCCCCGCGGACAGTGAATGACTTTTAGTGGGGCAAAGCAAAACCACCACTCAGAAACTAAAAGGCGAAGAAGCTAAGGAACCGGATGGCCTTCGGGAGCCACCAAGAATAATGGTCCTGTACCACGCTTGGTTTCCTTTTGGCTACCCTGGAACCGGATGGCTGGGAGCCACGAAGTGGACAGACCCGCCCGTCCTCCCGGCACGGAGCCGAAGAACTGCCTCGGATCGAGGGGTCCGAGAGCGAAACGGCGACTTCAGGGCCCCTGGAAACACAAATTGAAGCCAGTTGCCCCTAAGCCATGGGACTTGTCGTGTGGTTTTTGCCTATGAACACCGGGGATTGCCGGGATCCAATAGGTGAATTCTCTTCAAAAAATGAGGACCACGGATTTGCGCAGAATGGGGTCCACCAATATACCATGATGATTTGTCTCCTTGGATCCTTTCTTTGATTCTTGGGTTGACCGCGGCCACTTGTGAAACGCACGTCCGAACATAAATGCCTGGTGTATGGCTTGCAATTGCGACCCAAACTCTTGAACTGAGTTCTTACTTTAGGTGTCCAACCCTGGTTGACGTTGTAAACTAATGGGTAGGCTGCGGATCCTGTATTGGTTGGCTACAAAAACGGAGGACCCCAAAGGAAACGAACCGTTGCATGGCTGTCCAAAGGTAGAACATGAGAACGGCCGTGTTTATTCTTTCGTGGGCAAGGGTCGCTCATGGGCCATAACCAAATTTCGAGCCGGACTTAATTTCACAAAGGACATGATCTGACTTTCTCTGCCAGAACCTCGGGCTGTTTAAAATGAAGGGCCTACGATCCACAAAGGGGACAAAGGAACCCCAAAAACTACCCCCAACAAACACACACACCCCGCAAAACTTCACTGGGATTGTCCCCAGCCTACCCTTGATCTACCCGGGTCTTGATGACTCACTGGAGGCGATCAGGGTTATGAATCACTTACGTTCAGCACCCATTCAAGTGACCAAGTGGCTGTGGGTCAAAAATCTGGTAACCCCAAAATGGCTCACCCAGGTGAATGGAAAAAAAGAAACGCCGAAACCAACCTGCGGTCCAACTCCTGGTGGAAAAAAATGGACCCATATACCCAAGTGTTTTTCTTTTTTCCGTGTGTTCCTTGAAACCCAGGGTTGATCTTGACCCATACCCAAGTGGGGTTTGTCATGTCCCTTGAGTTGCCCGGTTGCCACCGCCTTCGACCGCCTTCGTTTCACCCGCCTTTCCTTCCGGTTGCCCGAGTCGCCCCAAGGGTTCGAAGCCGGGGTCTGCGGAGCCCAAGGTCACGCGGTACGCGTTGCAGGTGTCCACCAAGTAGACGGCCATCAGGTAAATCCTACCGTTGTTTTTTTTTTTTTTTTGTGAATAACATCGCAAATGACAACCGGACACAACACATATCAACGTCCTAGCCTTGAAATTCTGTGGTCGTTTTCATGGACACTATTCTATTGAGTGCTAGCAAGCTTAAAGAGAGACAGTGTTTTCAGAAGAGTGCTGCCCTGTTGTTGGTGCAGTCTCTTTGCGAACCCCTAGTGAGCGCTTAGCGAGGCGCTGAGAACTTAGAAGGGTCGTGCACTTCAATGGCCGGACACTGGCCAGCGAGTGCCCTTCGCAGCTACCACGGCTTTTGTGGCTGGTTGGCGTCTGCAAGGGTGGTTCTTGCCTGCCAAAGGGAACAGGGAAAACGACATGTCCGGAAGACAGAAATTGACTCCACATACCAATGTTCTACCCAGAACTTGGTAGCAAACACGGGACAAAATGCAGTGGAGGGGATCCTTTGCGAGAAGGGCCTTGAGTGAGATAGAGACAAACTGAAACCAGTGGAATCCATTAAGATCAGCTGACACACAAAGAAACTTGTGGCTGCCGCTCTAATCTGCATCTCCCGGTATGTTCGCTCAGGAAGGTACGGACAGCAGCCCCTTTCGGTGAAAACGAGGTCGTCATGTTGCAAAGTATATGCATCGTTTCCCTGGTACCCGCATGGGAAAGGGTTGATTTTTGGGGATGCACATGCAATGCTCACGGGGTGGGGGATTACGTTGCTTCGCCAAAGGCTACCCTGAATTGATCAGGCCAAATGTGGGCGCAAAGCGCGAGCCAGCACTACACATTGGAACAACTCGAGAATGAGCAGTAGGATGCGGGAAAACAGCATGACTGGGATGGGTAGGATTGGAATAGCCAGCCGAACAGCAATGGCACTTTCGATCACATATAACTGTCCCAACCAGCACACACGCACACAGAAACACACGCACACCACACCCTCAAACTCAAACACACGGGGGCAGCCAAAGTGGGGTGTGAAAGTTGCTACCTGTCGATCCTGACTGCAGCTAAGGTTCACTCCAGCCAGCACAAGCCTCAGTCCCCGTGCCGTGCGCGCCGTTGCTAGGGTGCGACTCAGATGTGCTAGACCCCAGATGCCCAGTGCACCGGTTGCTTAAAACAGCCCTTGTTTGGGGTGGCCATTTTCTGGTGGGGACACCGAAAAAGACACAACAGGGTGCCACGAAACAACTGGCAAGCCCTGCTAGATGTCCACAGTCCATAGTCTTCATGCCAACTTCAATTCTGGAGGACTTGACTCACAGGCGGTTCCCTCTTTTGGTGGGAGATGAATCTTACGGGGAACCCCTCTCATTAGGTCCGGCGTAGTCCCAAAGTGAGCATTACTTCCACTTGCTGTCGAATGTGGCGGGCGCCCGGGTTGGCGATCCCACCACTGCAGCTTGCATGCTGGAAGTTTCAGCACGCAGCGTGCTTCGCCTCCTCATGCGTTTTGTTCTGAAAATAGCTTGTGCCTACGTGTTGGTGCTGCCAGTAGTGCAAACAAATTCATTACACAAGTGCTCCGGATTCCCACTGAAAGGGGACACCCCATAGTCAACCCGACGGTTGTCAATCCAGGGCGACCACTCTTGTGTTGTGGTGAAACCGACTTCGCCCTAGGACCCTCAAACTTGGGGACCTGCAGCGAACTCTCTTTTTCACAGCCGGAAAGGGTTTCTGATGCGGGGTTCCTTTTTGAGCACTGCAAAAACGCCTCTTTAACTTGGGACACCCTTCCCGACCACAACGGATCTTCTGCCTAACCACGGATTCAGAACTTACGTTTTTGGGAAACACACGTCCCTTTGCTTCAGATTCCTGCGGATGGTCATGAATCCTTCACTCGCATGTTAGACATTAGTCCTAAGAATTCCTACCCAGGCAGCCATGACCAAAACCCGAAGCATGAGGTTTGACTACATCACATGAGTCACACTGAAAACCTGATATTGAAATAGCCTAATTTACCCAAGAACCATGCAAAGCATCAACAGCACCTATTATTCGGACTGTCCCTTCTCTTACCGGCCTTCAAGGACTTGGCTACCTATAGAGGGGCAGGGTACGTAGGTGGTTAGTAACCATGGTTGTAAGCCACTTAGGAGACTTATAACCATGGTCAGTGGCTTAATGTTGACCCAGGATTAATAAACCCGTCCCATTATTAGGGGGGTGTTCCCTCCAAAAGTGATGAATCCCCAGTAAAAGGGGCCTATTAATCAACCAGGGGTTTATGAATCCGGGGTTAACATTATAACAATGGTTACTAACTACTTACCTGACGTACCCTGCCCCTTTAAGTATGGCTTTGAGCAGCGGATCTTTTTTCGGCCGAAGCACATGGCGCCCAGCAGGGGCTTGAAGGAAGTGCCCACGGACCACACGATGGCGCGCACCTCCCCAAGCATCCTGCGATGTCCAAGGGTAGGACTTCCGTGGTATACCCATGGCTGTTCTAGTGCTACCCATTCTGAACCCAGGGGTCCTTCTTTCTAGAAAACCAGCAAAAACCCTGGGGAAACGGCCTTTTTCCTTCCTCGAAAAGAACGATGGTTGGAAAGAATGGGAAATCAACCCCTAGAATGGCTGGGGCTAAAACATGGAATGCCCAAAATGGCACCTGGGTAAAGGGAAGAAAGACGAAAGCCTGCTCAACACCTGCTGCTTAATTTTCAGCCACGCCCTCCGGATTGATGAACCCTTCCTTTGGGTCTCACCCAAAAAAGTGATCCGGATCCCCGCTAAAAGTGAAAAAAAAACACACCCCGCCGAATCAACGAGGGGCTTGAATCCAGGGTTAACATGATGTACACATGGAAAAGAGTTACCTACTGTCATGGCAACCGGGATCTTGATCGATCGTGATCTGGGTGTCATCAAGGGCCTCAATTCAATGGAGGACCCCCCACCAAAAAAAAAAAAAGAACAGGAAAAAGGCCAGGCGCGAACGAGTTGCTTGAACACTCGACGTTGCCAGGGCAAACATTTGGCAACGTAACCGGGTCGCAAACGCACCAGGCCTATTGCACGCCCCTTGGGAAGGGGCCAACTTGGCCACGCGGGGGGTGGGGGGGGGCACAGGATGTGGCCAACAGAAACTCCGAATAACACGGAGCCCTTCAAGCCACACGTTCTGCTGCCTTTCACATTGCCTTATTTGGGGCCAAGCGGTTTGGGCAAGGCAATTAAAAAGGCGCAGTCTCGTTTCACCAGGAGCCGGGACATTGTTCCACCTCGATGGGACGGCCGGGCTAATCAGGGCAAAAAACTTCAAGGGATCCTTTGAACGGAATGTTGCGATGTTGCGTCTTCTCAATGCCACCAGCACACGCTCAAACAATTTCGACCACCCACTCACACAAAAAAAACAAAAACAAAAACAAAAACACAAACACCAGCACAAGCACAAGCACAAATACCCACAGACACATCTGCAATACGCCTGGCAATTCCCATCCATGATTTTGTGCATAGCGGTCGTGCAACTCCGGTTGCGAAGACTAGGCAAAAGACCAGTAGCCAATGACCAGCGTTGCTTGGCTGCATAAACAAGCTCCTCAGAACCCGGTAGCTGCGCACGATGCGGACCAGCCGCACCATCCTGGTGTGATGGGATTGTTGAAGATGCAAAGGCCCGAATCTCAATCCGTAGTGTGATACTACTATGATCGGGAAACCACTGAACAAATACAAATTTGTTTAAGGCGAAGTACATTACCCGACAAGCTCACCAAGCAACAGGGGGTTTACAGGCTGCTTTTGAACAACTGGCACATTAAATGCTGAGTTTAAGCGAAATCCCATGACCTTTGTGGCCTGATCGAAACGCATGCACGCGACAATGTGAACTCTGCCCGAGTCCACTGTCAGCAATTGAAGCTTGCCCAGTAGACAATCAGGACATGCCCCCCCCCAAAGAATTCCCATCAAAAAAGGAAGCGGCGGCACGCGGAACAATGCAGCAACGGGAAAACGTGCCTACCACAGAACAGGGTCTTTGCATCTCACTAATGGGCGACACGGGAAGTCTGCTCTCACCAAAAAATGCTAACAGACTGAACTCCCCACGTTTACACTCGACGCACTTTACATCAAACGCATTGCAAAACAGAGTTCGAGAAACAAGTGCCGAGCGACAGTGACAAGCAGCTTGCCATCTAAAAAACCTGCAAACTGGGCCTTCAGCAACTCCTTGGGTTTTGGGTGACCCATGACTCAGTTGTTCAGTGACCCTGGAAAAAATGGAACCCTTTCTGGGGAAGACCATTTTTAGTGGAGCAGCCACAAAAAAAGTGGAAAAAGGGTGCTGCTAAACAACTGAGATGAGTTCCATATCAGGATGATAGCCCTTAGGCGGCGATCGGCACCCGTTCATTGACCCCCCCGAAGCTCTGCTTCGAAGACATGGTGGGCACGACAAGCTTGTGGGTTCAAATGCCCGCATGGGACAAAATAACAACAAGGAAACCACTACCATTGGGCAAATGGGTTCAGGACATATTTGAGCAGTCAAGTTGAGCAACAAAAGTGACATTCACAGAATGCGTCTACAACATCGAGCCTACACTTGTCCAAAGGCTGCATGCTGTACCTTGGCATGTGTGTAATTAACAAGGCAGTGGAACAAGTCACAACTAGCTTTGCTCCCTGCATCCCCCAAGAAACAATCCCCTCACATCTCACGTTGGATAACTCACCTGCCCACAACATAAACAAAAAAGGTTCTCCTGGTAGGACCTTGGCAAATAATGGCCAACAAGGGCCAAAAGGTCGGTTGGACAACTGAAATAACCTTTGATGAACCCCAGAATACACAAAACATGATGTTCAGCCTCTGCTTCTTTTTTAACCAACCGCAAAAATATAAGACTTTCCTGAGGAGACCCAGAAAACAGCCGCACGCCTGATAACTCGCATCACGTTGAAGTTGGTTGTGTTCTGATTCTGGTCATCAGCAGCAAGCGCTGTCAGCAAGACCTGAGAGTTTTCGTCGATTCGTGTGCCATAGCGCCCCATTCCCAGCAATGGTCATGTGGAGGTGGAGGTGCCGTTTTCAGATTGGTTTGAATCAAAAGGGAAACCAACAGAAATTTGGGCGAATTGTAACAATTCCAAAATGAACTTGGGCATCTAGGAACGAATGATTGTCACGGAGCAGGCATTTCTGATTTGCTTGTTGGGAGTTTCCCGGTGGCGCCGCCGGTCAGATAAGCCCCCCGGCTTGACAGGATCACCCGTCTTTGTTATGATTATTGTGTCCTGTTGGTGCTATTTCTTGGGGGGGCCTCCCTACCAAACAGATAATTTGCCCACCCCAAAGGACCAAATCGGTTCAAAGTGACTTATACCTCCGAAGCACAACTCGATGCTAATCCGCTGGAAGACAGAGATCCGCAGAAAAAACAAAAAACAAGAACAAAAAAAACAAAAACAAAAACTGTATACTTCTTCCCGTTTGCTGAGCAACCTTGCATCAAAAAGGCCCCGGCCTTTTTGACCCAGGCCTCTGGGAAGAGGCAATTCTTTGCCAAGCCTTCAGTTGGTTTTTGGGGCTACAGGAAACCACCTCCAAAAATAAACGAAGAAGGGCACCACTGGAAACGGTTTCAATCTGTTTCATGGCTTCCTGGATTGGCCGAAAAGAGTACAACCTTTTGGTCTGAAGAGGTCTTCCCTAAAAATATCAAGTGCAGGATCTCAGGGCGCTTTTGGGCCACAAGCTCAGCTTGAGTTCCAGGCAAAGTCGGCAGGGGTTTCAAAAAAAAAGTGGTCGGCCAAGATCCATCCGAGCGGCGTCCAGCCACTGCAGTGCCACCTGGGAGGGGCCCAGAGGGGGGGCCGTCTGGTCCCCCGATTCCATTGGCTTACCTGGAACTCCAGGGGTCATTTTCTGTCCCAATGTCATTTTTATGGGGTGGATACTCAATGCCATTCACAGTTGCCCAGTGACCCGAACTCCGTAGCAAAAGGGAACCCTTGTTCGGGATTGATTGACCATTTTTTAGGGAGCCCAACCAGAGGAAAGGGGGCTGAACAACTGCTGCCCTGTGAGTTGTGACACATGAAAGAGCCCAGCTCACGATATGCATGGGAATCTCCTCATAAGTTTGACCCTTTGTGGGCAACCCATATTCGCAGGAGAGTATCGGATCCAGGCAAAAGGGCTTAAATGCGCATGTGCCTGTTGCACATGCAAATGGGAATCTCAGAAAGCTTTCGGGACCCCCGCCGGCTCCCAGTGGGAGCTAAGGAGGTTGCAATTAAACACATGCCCACCAGTTTCCTTTTTATGTCTCGTTGGCTCCTTCTCAACCGTTCACTCCGAGCAATTCCCTGAACACATAAGCCGCACAAGAAACAGCCAGGGACCGGACTGCTCAACCGAAATCAGACGTCACAAGAGGTGCGCGGAAGATGCTAAGCGAAGCCAGAGGTAACCACGAGAATGCCACTACCCGTGGCTCATCATTTGGAGCCTGGTCCCCTTGCCTCCACTCATCCTAGTGGGAAACCTGGTGATGGGTGATAGGCCTGATTTGGGTCAGGGGCGACTCAATTCGCGATGCCAAGTAGCCAGCACCAAGTCGAATACATTCATCTGCCAGCCGGTCCCCGTGAAGAAGCGTGATGGATTTGCAGAAATCTTCAGAACCATCTCCAGTGTGAAGAAGGTACCTCAAAAAGGCGGCGTCAGGTTTCAGGGAAAAGGAATCTAGGGCACCTCTCCACCAATGGAAACTGACAGAAGGGCGTTTTCAGACTTCTTTCGGCTCTTAAGGATTCAAGCAGAGACGCTTGAAACCATTCACTTCAAACTGCACCCACTTGATCACACAAAAATGATGCTGGAACTCTGTGATACTCTGTGCATAGAACTCCCCTGAGTCACAGGATTTGGGCCAGCTCCAATTCCCCCCGGCTTCGCACACTCACGGCTGTTGCAAACTTCGCGCCTACACCAAGCGATGACTTCCAGGAAACCCTGAGGACATATTTTCCGAGAAAAAACAAACCAAGCGGTTGGGCGCCACCCAGGAGGGCCTAGAAACTTTTTTGAGGGGGCTACTTTTTTTTTTTGGGGGGGGGTTGCCAAAAAATGTCAAAAAAACACGTGGACCCTTGTGCCAGCTTTGATCGGTGATACCGAAACTGAGAGAAAACGAGCCCCCCACCTCAAGAAGTTTTAAAACCTTCCTAGAGCTCTGAGAAATATTGGGAGGGCCCCAATGATTGGCCCCAATTCTGACAACCCTTAACCCCCCCGAATTGTTGCCCCATCCGCCTTGACCACTTGAGAGGCCATGTTCAAATCTCAGGGCTGCCCTTTGGTTGAAGCCCCTCTCGCCCATCGCAAAATGAGGCGCAGAAGACCCAGCCCAGAATCACGAACTCATGGGGCGGGTCGGTCAAAAGCTGTTGGGACATGATGTCTGTCTCGAGGCCGATAACCTCAGAACCATGGCTCTCTGGCGATCGGAAACCTTGAGCACCAGAAAGCATTGGAATGCATAACGCTAACATGTTGACAAGCGCAAAACAACATTTAATGCACAGCCAACATCTCAGGAGGAAAAAAACACACACAAAACATAAACTAAGGTGGAGCAACAATGGCGTTGAGAATGATGGCGGACAGGGACAGGTATTCCAGTGGCCAGGCAAACACGATCATCTCGTAGATTCTGGTCTCAACCAACCTCAGAGCCGCGATGCGGAGGCTACTTTTGAATTTCCGGGAACAAGAACAATTCCCAGCGATTTGACAGGGGCCTGCAAAGGGCTTGGGGCCCCTTGATGAGTTACAATTGCAAGCGCTTTTCGCAAGGGCAACCAACCCCTCTTGGGCAGCTATGGCAATGCATGATTGTGCGTCAACTTCTCTCCCGCCGGCCCAAGCGTGTGAGCAACGGCTTGTCCAGCGTTGTCTGCAGAAGCAGGGCACAACACGTTGGGTATCTGCTTGGGTCGCCGGGAAAAGTCTGAAAACATGAAGTAGTGGCAGGAATAGGTTTACTTTGAAACCAGCAAGGTCAAACCAACATATTCCGAAATGCAAATGGAAGGTTGTGGTGGAAGGAAACGAGACACAAGCCCAGTTGGACTAAAATCCAAGCATACGACTGGAAGCCGACTACTAAGCCACATTGCAGGTAAGGGTTGCAAGCATGTCAAACACAGCTATGGGGGAAAACAATCACAAGAAACAAGCCCGACGTTTCTTCCACAGATGATTTATTATGAGGAACATGTGTGAATAAGCTTCTTCCAGACAAGCACATTCACAGCTGCAACATTCCCAAAACGAGATCAAGAAGATTGCTTACGGCGCGGTCTTGTCTGTGCATGTCCAATTTGCAAAGCGCAACAACATTGACACATTGGCAGTGAGCATGCCAAATAATTTCAGCTTCTGTCCCTCCACGTTGGCGGCTTCACGTTTCGAAGTTGCCTTTCATAGTTTAGACAAGCTGTGCAACATGTTTTGCCATGTTGGTACTTCTCCGAACATGATTGCTGGATCTGCATTCCGAAGTAAACAAAAAACATGTCATTCATGCCCAACGTCCACTTTTTGAAGTGTTCTCCATTTAAGCTCACAGACATATTGATAAGTCATGGTGCACGCACAAAACGTGCAATCAAAGTATTGGTGCAAAGACATCCGATGGAGAAAGAGATCATGCCTAGAAATAAGTCGACCTTTGGGAACCTTGACGAATGAACACTCGACGTCTCTGGCCCCTTCCTGGCTCGCAGCTTTGTGCCGGGTAGCATACGTTAAAAAGGCGGCCTCTAGGCCTCTAGGAGCTCTCGTATACCAAAACTGAACCCCGAAGCACCAAAAAGCTCAAAGGCTCAAATCGTTCAGAACTTGATCGGTCTGGAGATGGTGCCCTCCGGCCCTTGTTCGGAGCACCCGAAAACGGACGAAGGAGAGCCTTAGATTCCGACGTCGGAATCCTCCCCAACAGCGAGAAGACAGTGAGAGCAAGCGGCACTTCCTCCACATCCTTCTCGTTCTGGGTGTTCACCCGCTGCACCAACGGGTCCTCAATGGGTGGCCCGTTGGAAACGGGCCACCGGCGGAAGCGGGGACGGCGGGAGTTCGGCGCCTGAGGAAAATAGGGCGAAGGCGTCATATGGGCGGAAAGTTAAAAACAACCACCCGCAAAAAAGAACAAAAGGAAGAACTCGTGTAATTCGTTATGAAATCTGCTAGGGCGGCCCAAAGCCGCCAAAGACTGGCTGTGAAACACGGGGTGCTCCGAAGACTGGGTCACAGGGGTAGGAGCACCCAGCGGTCATACCTCTGAAAGGTCCCACATGTCAGATGCTTGTGGACGAAGTGGCTCGGGTACCGAAAGGGCATAAATCAATTGGCATGGGTACTGAACCCAACCTTGTCGCGAAGAACCAATGAACTGAACAGCTTCAAGAGGTCGAAAAGCCTCGCCCATGGTTCGTCCTCGTTCAGAACTGGATTTGGAGCAGACTGATGGATTTCCACCAAAACCCAGCAGCAGTCCACTTTCATGATTGCTGAAAAGCGTGTAAAGTAGACGGTCACAAGTTTTCAGCCAGGTCGAGCCATTCGCGCGAGAGCCCACGCAAAAAATCGGGCGGGTTCTCACCGCACATTAGCGGGAGTCAAAAGGACAAATGAGTTGCAAGCACAACCTGGTACTAAAATGGTCTACCCAGAACCATGTACAGGATTGAGAAGGCGGCCGCAGCTATTTATGGTTGGGATCGTCCCTTACTAACCTTCATCTGCCCGGGTTTTGATTGTGGCCAAAATGGGCAAAAGGCCACCTCACACGCGTCCTAGCCTGTTCTTACAGTAAAGTTTACTCAGAGCGTGAGGCCCCCCCCAAAGGGCAGTGTCCCTTCTCCCCCTTAGCCAACAGCACCAGCTTCCCCTCGTTGGTGGTTTGGATTGCTTGGAAGATCAGCGGGGGGTTCCTTTTACCCTCTACAAGAGCCACGGGCAATCCCCAAACCACCAATCCAAACCACCAAGACAAAAAGCCATGGGTCAAAATCCAAATCGCACCCCCAGTGAACATCCCAATCCCCACTTAAATAGGTTCTAAAATGGGTGGTGAATTCACCTACCCCAAAATGGGATCCCATTGGTTTTGACCCACAACCAAATGGCCACCCTCCAAATGCATACACTTCTCTAGGGGGAACTTCCCATTCTTTCCAGGAATAGAAAACCAACAAACAAAACCCAGAGAAAACGGCAGGTGTTTGAAAAGACCGATGGCTGAAAAGAATGGACAAGGGATCAACCCCTAGAACTTCTACTCCTGAAGTCCACGAGATCTGCAGCAGAGGATCCCAAAACTTCTCCATTTTGCCCGTGCCGGCGCGCCGGCTCTTCATCCGCTCGGGGCCCTCGTCCTTGACATCCTGGCTCAAAGACGTGACCCGGTCCATGGAATCGTGGACCAAATCTGGTAGGTGGTTGATCAACCAGCATTCAAAAGGGATTAGTCTATTTCTCCCCCCCCAAAAAAGAAGCAACGGCAACAGCAGCAAGAAGAACAACTCCAACTTTTGAGGAAGGTTTGAAGGGAATCCACAAAAATACCCACATTAGGGGGTGCCCCTGTTTCCAGGTTGCTCCTTTCCCCTACCCTCTTGTCAAAGGGCCATTCGGTTACACCAAAGACCGGCCATGCTTATCGCCAACCAACCAGCCAGCCAACCAGCCAACCAGGGTGTTCAAGTCCCAAGCGGCGCTAAAAAGAGAAAACCACCTGTTTCCTGGGCCCAGCCAAGAAAAAAACAAAAAAACACCGCCTCGGCCTCATCCACGGGGTCGTTCCTCACCGGCGTGGAGACGCTCTGCAAGTCCTACGCTTCTGCAATAAGCGCAAGCGGAGGTTTTGCTCTCGCTGGGGCTGGCCAAAGCCAGAAAGGAAACAAAACGACAACCAGCAAGACACAGGTCAATGGAACAAACAAAGAACACGGGGGACCGACAGAAAAACCAAACGCCAAAAGGAAAACCAGAAGAAAGACCAAGAAAAACAGTTAATAACTCCAAACGATCTTAAATGCCGCGTCCCAATTCGGGCTCTCACCTCCATTGCCTAGTCACCAAGTGGCCCGAAAGCTAGAAAAGGACTTTGGGGACGAGTCCATGTTTCATGGGCCACCCTGGATTGGGGTACACAGAAAATCATTCGTTCGGATTCTGCTTAATGTTAAGTCTACGGTAGTATATATATATATATGTATTATGGAATACTTTTCTTTTAGGAGGATACCCCAGTGAGAGGGCTCCTTGCGGCTGGCTTTTGACCGGCTTCAAAAGGTTTCGACATCTGCCAGTGACTCTATGGTGTGCCCTTCAAGGGATCATTTTAAAGACGAAGTGGGCATATTGAACGACTCGGCATGTGCCCAAATTAGGGGAGCCGTAAATAGGTGCTTTTACTTTTTGGTTTCAACACCCCCAAAGGTTTGGAATATGCGTGGATATCCCTAAAATGGTGTGCTTTCCGCTAGTTGTCCTTCACCACCAAAAACAAAGAGCAAACCTTCCTTCAACACAATTGGCTTTCCTTCCTGTCAACCCCAAAAAACGGCACTGCGCCTCCGCTGCGTCATCCGCACTCTCCATAAGCCCGGGCAGCGCCAGCCGCCCCGGCGGCGGGCGGCTGCCTGGAGGACAACGCACCGGAGCTAACGACAAGTAAACGAAAAACCGCAAAACAACTTGCCTGGTTGACTTTGGAAGGGGGGCAAAAATTCAAATTTTAGCAGTTAGGTGGGAATTTCAACCACTAAACCACAACAAGCAAAATGTAAAATGTTTCCCAACAACAACCATGTTTGGAGGGCACAGCAAATGAGTCCACCCTCGGTTGGCCTGCGGCGTTTTGAAGGGCAAGGTGGTCCTTTGAAGGGTTCATTTTAAAAACCTCGGTCCATAAGGCGAGTTTTGCAGTGTTATTGTGCCAAACCCCATGCAAAAACCGTGTCCCACTCACTCGCAGCGTCAGGGGAGCAGCTGATGTTTGCTTGGGGCAAAAAAAAGAGCCAAACGAGCATGGGCTGCCCGAACCAGAATGCCGGACTTTAGTTTGATCGACCCAACATGGTGTGAACTGGTTGCCCGCCACTAAAATTGTCCCGAAAAGTATCAAGTCCAGTGACTGGGTAGCAGCGCTTTGTCGGTTTGGCAAGTCTTTGAAGGGCGGCTTGGGGAACAAGACCTCCCGCCGGAAAATGAATCAGCTGGCCAGAAAGCTATGTTTCAACGTGAGGGACTCTTCGGTTGGTGCACCAAATAAATGTCGATGTGACGCCAAACCCATCCCTACCCCCCCTCCCCCGCCGCCCATGGGGTGTCCCTCCAGACCAAGCACTCCAGACCGAGCCAACCAAGAAACCTACAAACCCCCGGCCCAAAGAATGCCGTGACCTTCTAACCCTGCACCTTACACATTTGCGCACACAACTGCCGTCAGAATAGCGCCCTGTTCGCAGCACCAGCGAGTTGACATAGGATTTTGGGGACAGGCAAATCCCATGTTGCCCAAGCTAGGGCGCCCTAAACCCTAACTTCGTACACATTCTGCCACATTCTGGGAAACCCTTCTCTCTATGCCGAGGTAGGCCATGCCCCATCTGATCCAGTTCATTGGAATCACAGAAGGAGGGCCCAAACCCAAGTTTTCCCCAAGGGACGAAATCTTGCACGAGTTGGTAGCTGGTTACCCCAGCATCCATCGGGCTTGGTCCATCCCAACTGCTAAGTGGATTCCATAAACCCTCACAGCGGAGAACATGTGCGCCGAGCTGCTCCCTTTGTCGCTTGGCACTATGGCAATTGAAGGATCCTCCTTGACCTTCACCTGCTGCTTCCTTAGGCTCACGGGAGCTTGAGCGAGCGCGATTCCCTTATGACGGCTTGATTTGCTTTTGAAGAATCCCCCCACCCCATTCCAACCAATTTGGGCTCTTATTGTGGCCCGAGATGGCTCATGGAACTTAAACACCAACACGGCGTTGTGCCCATTCTACCCGATAGCACGCGCCTTGAAGATTGGTACCTGTCACAGCGAAACCAAAAGGAGCCAGAGCACATCGGTCCGGAATAATGAAAATCCCCAATCCCCTTCTCGCTAATTACTCCTCGGGAAGGCTCGAAACCACATCCTTGCCGTTCAGCACCAAATCAAAACATGCTTCTTTAAACGCTACAGTTTGGGCAATCCAAACAAGGCTGCTTCAAAGGTTTTCTACTTGTGCAGATGTGTCCTGTTTTGGGAACGCAAAAACTCGAGCGGATTCCCGCAAAACCGAACGTCCGCCGAACTCCGAGGCTCCTGTCCTTCACGGCCTTCCAAATGTCCCGGATATTGGTGGTCTTGGCCTTCAAACACGCGATTCGTTGCAGCCAAAGATCCAGCAACTTGGTGCGAGAAGTAGGAAAGGAATGAGCCAGGGGTCCCCGAAAAGGAAACCACAACGGATCATTCCCTCATTCACTGCCGAGCACCAGCAAGAAAAACAGCCCTCTTGGGCCATGACTAAAAATGGACCAAAGAGGGGAAATAGAAGGTTAAAAGGTCGATCCGCTTTGGGCAGGGTCACTGGATTTGCAAGAAGGCTGGGGGATGTACAGGTCTGCCTTCGGAGAGTCGGCGGTATCCTGCCTGCATTTTCGCAGGCCTCGCAGTATGAGCACTGCTGTGAAACGGGCGTGATGTGTAAGAAGAGGTAACAAGGGTATCATTGAAGTCATGTGCTTCTTTTGCGCGTGTGCCTGCAGCAAGCACTCATTGGCAAAACTAGTCAGGTCGATGATTCAGGGCTTTGACTTTGAGCTGGCAGAGCGCCAAAGTGCCCAGGCTGGCAGAAGCCAAAAAGCGCTATGCACTACCCCACCAGGCACAGGAGATCCACGAAACATTGACATGCAAATCTGTATGGTACCTTGACTGGCTAGCAGCAGTCCTGCGCAAACGGCTGCTGCAAGCAGTTTCCGCACCATCGGGCGGCAACGAGAAGTACATCTACCGCAAAGGTGAGTCGCCGCAAGGTTTGCTGGAATGGTCAGAAATATAGCAGCTATGCCGATGACCAAGTTTTCCAGTGCATCAGTGTTGTCACCTATGTACCATCTGCTAGCTGCAAAGTCCATCTGCACCCACAGTGCTGGAAGGCCGGAAGTTACCATATAATGGTAGGGGAAACAAAGCCCGCCCAAGTGATGCACCAAGGCGGCCTGCGTAGATTCCTGCACGGACCTTTCAAATTCCTCCTCGGACCCGAACCAGACCCTTATGCATCTCAGCAGGACCTCGCGGTCACACATGAGGGGCGTGCCGTCTGCACTTTTGTGGTTCCTCTCGCAACACGAGCAAGTGGTGTCCGCAATTTGGAAGTTTTGCAACTGCTTCTGCATGACCTCCACCAGGGTTGGGCAAGTCGCAGTTGACAAACTGACCCTAGTTATCATTATACGGCTTCACAACAGTGGTTTCAAAATGATTTAATCAGGAGGCCCAACTGGCCTCCACGGAAGTGGTGAAATTGAGCAGCACTGTGCTGGCCAGCCACCCAAAAGCACACAAGCCCAGCACCACCCCAAAGAGTGTAATCTCGCTGTCCCAAGGAAGGAAGATACTGGTGTAGCAAAACACGACGTTCGTCATGAAGGACAGCAAAGATAAGACAGCAACTGATAAGGGCTGGACCAGCATGTCTGGCGTCTCATGAGTTCTCAGAAACGCGGCCAATTCGAAGATACACCACAACCTGTAACAGTAGCTGCTGTCCCAAATGATCATGAGCTTCTCAGACCGCTTCAGGCAGGCCCCGATGTTCAAGACACCCTCCATTTTCTGCTTCACATCTCGTTGGTTTATGCACAGCCGGTCGAGGAAGACCAGCTCACAGGGCCGCCGAAACATCAAAACCAGCAGAAAGGTGAGCGTCCCTGCAGGGTTGGCTGCGGTTAAATGCAACAAATCGGCCGCATAAACTTGTTGCCGGCCAGTAAACCACACACTGGATCACTGGAGGTGTTTGTGCGGATGCTTCGGGCCGTGGGTGTGGCAACATGTGGAACGCCGCCTGCCTGGGCTTACTTCAGCATGCGCCTGTGCGAGCGCCTACGCGTACCTTTTTCGCGAGCTACTCATGAAACTCTGCGGGCGCAATCGCGTCATCATGGCATGGCCGGTGAGTGATAACTCCATGACAACAGTTGTGCACTAAAGTGTTTTCAAACCCGAAAGTAGCTGGAACAGCTAAAGCATGAACTTGCGCTGCTTGAGTTCGACATTCGCATAGCACCCAGGCTCAAAGAGCCGCACGCCTTCCCCCATCCTAGTTGCGACAAAACTTGATAGATGGCACGTGCTTCCACTTCGAGCGCCCCCCCCCTTTCTGCGCAAAGTACCTCTTTTTTTTCACCAACTCTAGCTCTGCTGTTGCTACTGGCAGAGTGTAGCAAACCTCCAACAAATAAGCTTGTTTTGTTCATGCTTCTAAGTTAAGCCCTTAGCTAGGTAGAGACGTAATCAAAACACACCACATGTAAGTCAAAAGAGGGGTGCCTTATCATCTCATGAGACAAGCTTGAAGCGAAGGAAGAAGCACTGTCACTTTGAGAGACTGGTGTTGCCGCGGCAAGTGCAAGGACTAAGGTAACATAACAGGCTACGGAAATACCAGTGTCCACAAGATTGACCGTGAACCTAAGCGGATGTATGCGGAGCCCACACAGGGCATGCAAGGCTGATTGAAAACAAGACATGAGCACCGAGTGTCCCGCGTTTTCTTCTAAAAGCTCAACTCCTCCAAGGCAAACAACGCAATGCGGCCATTGGGGAGGGGGGTGCGCAGCTCGCGACCTTCATAGCGGAGCTTTTGCAACAAATGCCAAGTAGCATGCACGCAGGGCAATTTTACAAACAGGCCTTGTAGGCGTCACAACATCTGCCGATGATTTCACTGACGCCTATTTTGACATAGCCCTGAATTGAATGCGCATATCTTGTTGCAAGTGCAATGACCGACAGTCCGTCATATGGCCTGACATGTTATTACATGTT